GAACCTGAAACCTCCCCAACCCGTGACTACACGCCCCTTGAAAGTCGAGCGTCGAAACCAAACGTATTACAGCCAGGCAGAAATACGAGACTCAGAGCTTTCCCAAGTGCTGGCTTCTTGGATGGGTCCCGATTTTTTTTGTTCCTTGCTAGCCTTGTCAAACCCACCTCTGCTTTTCGAGCCTCGCCCACCAATCAAGCTCGCCGTTTTCCAACCGAGCGTAATACTCTAGGAAATACGAGATGCGGGCTTTAAGCTGCTGAGCGGCGTAGTGAACGACGAACGGCCATAGAAAATGGGGTGCATCGGTATAGATCATGGAGTTACGAGCCACCTCCATAACCAAACCGATGCGTTGCTTAGCAACCCCATTCTGCTGCGGGGAGTCTGGCAGGGTGTACGACTCGGTGATGCCCTCCGCATGGCAGAACTGGCCAAGCCGACCGGAGGCAAACTCACTGCCACGGTTGGAATGGAGACGGAGCACTGGTAGGGCGCGGTGGACACATGTAGCGACAAGCCACAGGATAAGAGTGTCAGGCACGTCGGCCTTCCGCTCCAGGGGAAACACCATGGTGTAGCGCGTGTAGTCGTCTATGAGCACCAAAATGTAGAGCTCGCGATGCGGCCCAGGGACGGGGGATGGGCCCCAGATGTCCATGTGCAGGGTCTGAAGTGGCGCTGTGGTGGGTGGAAACGAGGAGTGAGGAGCACGGTGCAGCCGGCCCTCATTGCAAGGCATGCACGGAGGCGCAGGCGAGGGAGGGAGGGCAGGGAGCAATGCAAGGAGACCTAAGACAAGACCATGCTATGACATGTGACGAAGATGGGGGAGTGCAAGTTGAACTAGACGGTGGTGCCACCGAAGCGACGGGTGAGTGAACGATCGACACGAACCAGCCGCAGCGACTTGAGTAGGCGCCGCCACCTGAGAGGATGCTCCCACTGGGGGGGACGTGGTGTCCAGCGTGAACAGGCCAGACACCGGGTCCTTCGAGAACGTGGTGAGGGGGGCACCAGTGGCGGCCTCGGTACAAACTGTGTACCGCTCGAGTCCAGGTAGCGTAGTGTTGACGCCAAGGTCCTGAAGACAGCCGACACCAAATAGGATCCTGGAGAACGAAGGGATGTTCAAGCCTGTAAGGAAGCTTGAGGGAACCGCCGGACAGTGAAGGGTGATAGAGCTACGTGCACCGGCCGGACCTAAGGAGGGGTAAGCAAGCGCAACAGCTGCAAGGCAAGCGGGGTGAGCGCAGTGTGGTCGCGATAGAAGCAGGCGGATGCACAAGAGTCCAGCGTGAAGGAGAGCACGGCTGTAGCATCAGCCGGCAAAGAGACTAGGGTGGAGCTAAGGCTAAACAAGGCAGGTGGTCCTCCGCTTGATGTAGCAGGGGAGCCTAAAATACACACAGTTGACACACCTACACTAGGCAACACGGGGTAATAAGCTCCAGTCACACTAGAGTCATCAGCATACATGGCATACAAAGCAAACATAATCTGATCCATATTCATCTCAAAGACCAGCACAGGGCAACGTACTAGGCTGTGCCAGGCAGGGAGGTCAGGCGTGGGCCCGAAACGGAGATGGAAGAGGCTGTCAAGGTAGCGGTAGCAGCGGGCGGCGGTGTGACCAGGATAGTCACACACGGTGCCGCGCCAGGGGTCAGTTCGAAGCTGGTACTGACAAGTCACCACACTTGCGCCTGCACCCAACGTCAAGCTGTGCGAGCTGCCACCGCGGCCGATTCAACCAAAGCCGCCAAGCCGCCACGGCGAGAGGGGTCCCCACGGCTGCTGCTGTGACTCCTGCTGCTATGGCTACTGCTCCGGGGCATCAGCCCCGGCCCCCTCGTCTGTACCACGGGTACTCGCACCACCTCCACCACCTTTGCCACCCCTCACTCTGCCACGCCCCCCCCCTTGGGGCGGTGGCCCTTACCCTGAGGCCACCGCAGCGTTCTCAGCAGCAGGGGGTGTCTCAGCGATAGCCAAAAAAATGTCAGAGTAAGTGCACTGGAGGGTGCACAGCCCTGAAAGATAGGGACCGGCTCAGTACCGCTAGACTGAGCGATAGTGCGCTGGTGGGTCTCTATCATGGACAGGGCAGTGACAGAGGCAGTAAGGGTGAGGTCCGCGGGGTGAAGAAAAAGGAAGTGGTCGCGGGCAGTGGCGAGGCGGTCGGGAAGGCGCATATCAAGGAAGTAGAGGGTAGCGCCGAAGGGGGTAGGCATTACAGGGAGCTGGGCCTCAGTCCTAGCAGCGCGGTAGCTAGTCTCGAGTACGCGCAGGTGAGTGGAAAAATCAGCGACAGTGGGGAAGGACGCAACATCAGGGAAGAGCAGGGGAAGAAGGAGATGACCAGCAGAGTCGGAGGAGGGAGTGGAATAGCGCGCAATGACGGCATCTAGGTACTTCTTTGCAATCTCTTCAGTCTGAAAGCGGGGATGCACGGAGAGGGGGAAGGCGCGACTGATAGCAAGCTGCGCAAATGCGTCGCACGACTCCCAGACAGAGTGGGCGAGCTCAGCAGGCGTGGGGGCGTCAGGGAGGACAGCTGGCCGGTTGGGGCAGGGGAGCTTACCGTCGATGAGGACGGCCAAGGACTGGCCAACCTGGTGCTGACCCTTCAGTTGATGGTGACACGGCGTCACAACGGCACGGCAGCACGGCAGCACGGCGACATAGCCGCATCCCAGCATGGCGGCACGCACAGCGGCATAGTGGCACGGTGGCACGGCGGCACGGCGGCACAGCGGCACGGTGGCACATCGGCACAATGGTACCGCGGCACTGCGAGCTGGGGCGGCGTGGCTCGGCAAGCAGAGTCCGGCGGCGGAGCGGTGGCGTGCAGGGTCCGAAGGAGCTAGGACCAGCTTGAATTGGGGCCGGCGCGCATTGGGGTCGGCGAGCTGGGGCCGGCGAACGCGGTAGGGGCGGCGAGCGTGCTAGGGCCAGCGAGCTAGGGCCGGTGAGCTGGGGGCGGTGAGCTGAGGCCAGCATGCTAGGGCTCGCGTGGCGCGCGAAGGGCCAGCGGTGAGCCAGGGGTCAGCGGGCTAGGGCTCGCGTAGCGCGCGAAGGTCCAGCGGCGAGTTAGGGTCTAGCGGTCTAGGGCTCGCGTGGCGCGCGAAGGGCCAGCGTTAAGCTAGGGGCCAGCAGACGAGCTAGGGGCCAGTGGGCTAGGGCTCGCACGGCGCGCGAAGGGCCAGCGGCAAGCTAGGGGCCAGCGGGCGAGCTAGGGGGCAGCGGGCAAGCTAGGAGCCAGCAGGCAAGCTAGGAGCCAGCGGCGAGCTAGGGGGCAGCGGCTAGGGGCCAGCGGCGAGCTAGGGACTAGGGCGGAAGCGCAGGGCCACGGTTAGAAGGGGCTGTCGTGGCGAGACAGGGCCGCACGGCGAGCTGTGGCCGTCGCGGCAGGCTAGGGCGGCGCGGCAAGACTAGGGCAGAGTGGCGAGACGGAGCCAATGTGTCGTGACGGGGACAACGCGGCGTGACGGGGCCAACGCGGTGTGACGGGGCCAGCACAGCGGTATAGGGCAGCGCGGCGCGGTGGACTAGGGCGGTGCGGCGTGGCAGACTAGGACGGCGCGGCACGGCGGGCTAGGTAGGGGTAGGCTATGGTGGGCTAGGGCGGAAGCGTGGGTGGGTGGGACCTACCTAGCGTGATACCATTTCAGAGTAGCAAAATGAACTAAGCAAGGGCATACAAGGTGTTATATGAGTTGTGGGTTGTACTCCCTAAGAGCACGTACCTGTCTAGCCTATAACTAGACATACAATACAAATGTATAAGTTGACACCCACGCCATTCCTCCGACAGACTGCTTTGTCCATTGTGGCAGCTCAACCCCCTATTTGTTGATCTTAATTGTGCAGCCCCCATTGGTCCAATCGACGTGTGGATTGCGTCGTACCAACCAATATTTGCCCAGCTGACGATATGTCATGTCGAGTGTAGTTGCCAGCCAGTGGAAAACTAGAAGCAGCTCTGCTTCGTACGTGCAGCTCCTCTACCCGTTCTCTAATAGCAAGTGGCGTGCCCTCAATGAGACGGGCATCCATCTCAAGTAAGCACCTGTCTCAGGGTAAACAATTTTTTCCTTGCCGAGCACTAGGGCAGTTAGTGCACTATTGGAAGTGCAAGGACGGTACTGCCCGCCCACCTCCAGCCCACCTCAAACTCCCTTCTCAGCCTCTGGCAATCAGCTAGACCACATGCTCACCCCCCCATGCTCCCCTGGTCAATGCTGTCTTGCCTCACTCCTTCCATCTTGTACCGCCTCTCTCCCTCCCTGCTGTATCACCTCCTGGGGGGGGGGGACAGGAAGTGGGAGTAGAGGAAAGGTGAGGAACAGTGAGGAGGGCAGGGATCCAAAGCATAGGAAAACGTGAGGGACAGGGGGGAGGACAGGAGGGGGGGCAAAGGGGAGATGTGGGGAGCACAAGGGAAATTGGGGGATCACATGGCAGATAAGGGGGGAGCATGGAAGATAAGGGGAGAGCATGAGAGATAAGGGGGGAGCATGGCATATAAGGGGGGAGCATGGAAGATAAGGGGGGAGCATGGGAGATAAGGGGGGAGCATGGGAGATAAAGGGATAGCATGGGAGATAAGGGGAGAGCATGTCAGATAAGGGGGGAGCATGGAAAATAAGGGGAGAGCATGGCAAATAAGGGGAGAGCATGGCAGATAAGGGGGGAGCATGGAAGATGAGGGGAGAGCATGGCTGACAAATGGATGAAGTGGGTAGAGGGAATAGGGGGAGGGGGGGAATGAAATCCTACTTACTCAAGTGGGTGATGCTGATGGCGTCGAGCCAGTAGCCAGGGATTCCGACCAAAGCCGATGCCGAGTCGCGGGCCGGGAAGCATCATCAGTTTCCTCGCCTCGTGCTTCAGACTCAGGGGGACCGTCCTCCCACTCGCGCGAGACGTTGTCAACCCACGTCCAATTCATTGGACCGAGCACTCTGACACTCTGGCCACGACATACCCTTGTCTCTTGCTGTACACGTGTAACGTATGCTTTCACAACCCTCCCCCCCCCCCCTCTCTCTCTCTCTCTCTCTCTCTCTCTCTCTCTCTCTCTCTCTCACTCTCTCTCTTTCTCTCACCCCCCCCCTCTCTCTCACTTTCTCTCTCTCGTTCTCTCTCTCTCTCTCTCTCTCTCTCTCTCTCACTCACTCTCTCTCTCATTCTCTCTCTCTCTCTCTCTCTCTCTCTCTCTCTCTCTCTCTCTCTCTCTCTCTCTCTCTCTCTCTCTCTCTATTTCTCTCTCTCTATCTATCTTTCCTCTCTCGCTCTCTATATATTATCTCTTTGTCTCTACTGACCCCTCTATCTCACTAACTCCCTCCCTCTCTGTGTTGCTCCCTATCTCTTTCTCTTCCTCTCTCTCTCTCTCTCTCTCTCTCTCTCTCTCTCTCTCTCTCTCTCTCTCTCTCTCTCTCTCTCTCTCTATCTTTCTCTCAACACCTTGTATCGTCATTCAGTGATTCAACACTTCGATATTCATTTCCGTGCTACTCTGCTTGTTCATTCATAACAATTTGAGTTTTCCTTGTAATTTCCGCTAGGTTTTGGTGACATGTTTGCTTGGTTCTGCTGTCAAGCAAGCCTCGAAGCTAGAAATTTGCGCCGAGTCAGCCTCCAAACCTGTTTTCCGCATATACGGTGGCTGTGGCACCTCAATCTCATGCTCGCCCTCTCTTGAGTTCGTCTGGGGTGGTGCAGTCCAAAACACACATAGAACATGTACTAGTCGTTGCAGGCATTCTTCCCTGCCATACCATAGGATTCGAATCTGGACAGCAAAGCAGGAGGAGCAGGCCGGCAGCGAGCTGCTGCAAACGCGGGGCCAGCGTCGCGGGGCTGGCAAAATCGGGGCCAGCGGACGCTGGGCGAGAGTCTGCGGGGCCAACAGGCGCGGGGCCAGCGGGCGCGGGGCCGGCAGGCGCGGGGTCGACGGGCACGGGGCTGGCGGGCGCAGGGCTGGTGAAAGCGGGGCCAGCAGGCGCAGAGCCAGCGGGCGCGGGGCTGGCGAGCGCGAGGCCGACGGGCGCTGGGCTGGCGAGTGCGGGGCCGACGGGCGCTAGGCTGGTGGGCGCGGGGCTGGCAATTGCGCGGGGCCAGCAGGCACGGGGATGGCGAGCACAGGGCAAGCAGGTGCGGGGCTGGCGAGCACGGGGCCAGGAGGTGTGGGGCTGGCGATCGGGGGGCCAGCGGGCGCTAGGCGACGGGTGGCTACGGGCAGCTAGCGACAGGCGGCTAGCTACGGGCGGCTAGATACGAGCGGCTAGCGATGGGCGACTAGGTCTAGGGCTAGGAGGGAAGCGCGGGTGGGCGGATTGGACCTAACCTAGCGTGATACCATATCAAAGTAGCAAAGTGACTAGAACGTGAGATACATGGAAGTTTTGTGCTAAGGGGTTGTACTATCTAAGAGTACGCACCTATCTTGCCTATATTAACATACACATATGTGTTTGACACCTTCAGTGGCGATTAGAACAGCTTTCAGTGTGATATAAGTGTTCGGTGTTGTACTAAGAGCACGAATTGATCTAGCCTATAACTATGCATGCAATGCATATGTATAAGTTGAGAATTATCTCTGTTGCGGGCTAGCATTGTTTTTTTTTGTAATTTCATCCACCATGTCTAACGAAGTGGTGGACGAGAAGAAAAAAAGGCGATTATAACCGTTTTTTTAGACGGGTGCCCTGAAAGGTTGACAAATATATACTGTTCTATATGGGGCTCCGAAATGTGACAAATGTCGACGTGAAAACGTAGGAAGGGTTGCGTAGGTAGTAACCTGAAGATTTTTAGGTGAAGATGTAAATGTGTGCTCTTCATAAATTGTAATGTCTTCAGATTAATGCGTGCAATGGGTTGGTTTTCGCGTAGGGTGTTGCGATGTTCGCTCCTTGGCGAACCACACTTGCCACCTCGCACCACTGCTCCACGCCCCTGCTCGCTGGCAGGGTTGGCAGCTGCTGCCTGGTGGGCACGAAAAACGGGCAAGGTGAGTCTTTCATAGAAAAGACAATCACGTGACGGGATGACTTGGTTTGAGCGGAGATCCAAAATCTTCCACGCGTGATATTGTTTTTCGATGCCGAGATATACCCCCCATTTTGCTCGTTCGGAAAATTTGCCGAGTGCTGCAGTTGGAGGACGAAACTGTACAACACACCCGAAAACTCGTAAAAGTTTTGTACTCCCCACTGTACGTGTCCACTGCAGGTGTGGAGAAGAGAACTCGGGCAGGGAGGTTGAAGAAAGAAGATTGTGTAATAGCACGGCGTGGTCCATCGCATACGGCAAAAAATGCGGTGGAAGGGCTGCCTGCGTCAGCAGAGCACGCATCTTCTCCTGCAGAGTTCGGTTCATCCTTTCTGCTACCCCCATCTGTTGGTGTGCATGTGGCAGGGACTGCTTCCGTTTGATGCCGAGTGTCTGAAGGTATTGTGTGAAGGTGTTGCTGGTGTACTCCCCTGCACCATCGCTCTGAAATTCTTGCAGTTTCACGTTGGACTCTTGTTCGGCGACAGCGAGCCACGCGACGAAGACGGAGTGAGCTAGATGCCGCGCAGGTAAGTTTCCTGTCCAGACATAGCGTGTAGACACCTCGATGAAAGTGATCACATAATTCTCGTCTTTAGGGCCTGCTTCAGACAAGTTGAGTATGTCGCTGTAGGCTTTCTGCATCAGTTTATAACTTGTTGAGCCAGGAAAGTGACTTGGAAATGGATCGTGCGTAAGGTTGGCAACTGGACAGGTGGTGCAAACCGTCGGACGAGACTGCGGCTTCATCTCCGTGCCATCACGTAAAAGTAAACTGTTTTTATCAAGAACTGCTGCTCGAATTGAATGATTTAGAATTCCTTGTGATGGATGTCCTAACCGCTGATGCCATATATCTTCTGTGGTTTTGTGTCCTGATGATCGCAGGTAAAAATCGGAGTTAGTATAAATGGAAGAAAGAATGAAAGGAGAAAGGGCTGGGGACTTGTCAGTTTCTCCTTCGATTGAAACGGGTAAGAGGTAAAGTAACAGTTGTTGGTGTAGTTAAAGGTGTGACTGCAACTGCTGATGCTGCTGCTGTTGATGTTGTGGCATGTGTTTCGGCAGCAGTTACTGTTGGACTCAGCTGCTCAGCTACTGCTTCCTGTTCTGCTTCTCCAACGACATCTTGTTCATCAGCGGCAAGACCACTTATCTCTCCCCAATGTGGTGCTGGAGTTCCTTGAAAGGCTGCTCGGGTATTATAAAAGGTGCGCCAAGCATTGGCGCTTTCATCGGCGGTATTAAACTCCCATGTATCCAACGCGGTAAGTACGGCTGCTGCAGTTCGAGAAGCTGTTGGTACAGTTGTTGCTCGAAAGTCAATGTCCACGTGTTGATAGTCTGTTTCGTCTGGGTGATCCCAGGGACCAAGTGCAAGGACTCGTTCAGAGTCACCAGAAGTTCTCTGTGCTGCGAACTGAAGTACCGACACGCCATATTGAGTGGCGGCACGACCAAGGTAGGTATTAGTTGTACTGTGCCAGAGCTCTTGATCCATCGTCTCACAATTTCCTTGTGTGCGGATTTTGTGTGCCAGGAGTTGAGCTGTAGAAAGAAGGTTGAAGCCAAGACTGGCAACGATAAGAACATTCGTAACATGAAGTGAGTATCCCGTGTCGATAGATTCGAGCATGACACTGCCAACTGATCGTGCCATTATCGTTTGTCCGTTGGCGACTGTGACATGTATCGGACGACGAAGCGGACGCTGATTCGTGATAAAGCTTGTTTTGGCAGAACACATATGCCATCCGCAGCAGCTGTCGAGATACCAGGTATCTGGTCCTGAAATTATGCGAGCAAGGTTAGCGTAAACTTGAGGTAAAGGAATGCCTTCAGCACTTGTTGTTTCTTCAAGTCGGGTTTCGAAATCTGTTTCTGAAACATCAACTGTTGTAACACATCCAAAAACTCCTTTTCCTGATGTGGCAGATGCGAAGGCCGGCGGGCGCTGCTGCGACGTTGATGAACTCTGCGGCGGTTTCGGCATCTGCTGCTGCTGAGACGATAACTGCTGCTTTGGCGGTTATGTCTTCGGTGACTGCTGCGATCGGTGATACGGCTGCGAAGTGCTGCGACGTTGATGACGACTGCGACAATTTTGGTAAGTATGTCCTGGTTTCTTACAGAAATGGCAGAACGGATACTTTGGTGGATGTCGATTCTGTGTTTCTGGATTGGAGTAAAAACTTAAATAAACCCCCCTTTTCTGGTTGCGTTGTGACTGCAGGTCAAGATCTTGCTGCTCTGCTTGAAGATAAGAAGAAATTTCAGCTTCGGAGAGGTTGGGATTCATGCGCAGGAAGGCGCGCGTCTGTCGCCATTCGGGTCCAAGTCCAGCAAGAAGGACAGTGAGATACATCTCACGAGGGAAGTATCCTCCGCTCTTTTCCAGTTGATTGCGTAGTGTACGGACTCGGTTAACGTAGTCCATGACATTTTCGGTTGTCATCATCTGCACACTTGTCAGCTGCGAAAGGATTTTACTCACGGTTATCGTATCCTTTGCCATGTATACCCCTTTCAGATGGTTCCATGCAGTTTCGGCTGGTGTGAAACTTGATTGAAATGATCGAACGCCAAGCTGCTCCTTCGGCGACAAGTTCCGTACAAGAACTGTCTACGCCCCGAGAGAGGCGTGTAAAAAACTCTGCAGCTCCAGTTGTGTTCCCACGACAGGATACGTAAATTCGCCAGTGAAGAACGGCCATAGCCCAGCGGACTGCGCCAGAAGCTCAAACTCAAAGCTCCAGGAGTAGAGGTCAACACCATTAAAAGGTACGGTTGTCTTGATCTGAGTATTGTTAAGTAAATTTGGAGGCTGAAATAAAATGCCTGGCTGTTGCTGTTGTTGCTGTTGTTGCTGTTGTTGTTGCTGTTGCTGTTGCTGTTGCGGTATTTGCTGTGGTTGCTGATACTGCTGTTGCTGTACTTGCTGTGGTTGCTGAGCAGGAGAACGACCGAAGATATATAAGGGATGCTGAAACTGCTGCGACTGCGGCTGCTGTACGAAAGGTGAGAAGGCAAACGAACCAGTATTTGGAGCTGTAGTTCCACGCATGTAGCTTGAGCCGTCAAGGCTCATTCCACTGAACGCAGATGAAATTGATTGCATTGTAACTGGTGGCTGTACTGATGCTTGTTGCTGTGCTGTTGTCTGTGATTGCTGCTGTTGCGTTGCAGGTGCAGTCGATGGAGCACCTGGAGTATTCACAGAAGGCGGATTCTGCATACCAATATTAGCGTAGGCTGGTGGAAAGTGCCCAGAGGCTGAGAGACCAGCGGCGGTAGTGGAGGCATGTGCTCCAGTAGTCCCAGTAACTGATCCAGCAGATGGTGCTGGTGTTGGACCAGTCATAGTTGACGGTAGTCTTAATTCCAGATAGCTCTCATACCATGAACTAAATCATCTGGTGTTGTAGTAGACTAAGTATAAAACTATAAACACGAACACTTGGCAAATCCTCAAGTGTTTGTCCAGGATCTTTGCTGGAAAGGTAGACTAGTAAGACAGCGGAAGTCTTTGTAAAATGCAACTGTCAAGGTTGAATAACCTGAGTACGTGAACTTGTGTGTAATTGAAGTTAATAATGAAAAAGACCTGACAGAAATTTATTAGTTCTACGAAAAGTACCTATTCGCTAATGTACCTGTTCGTCACTATCGCGCTATGCGCCCTAGATGATAATGAAGAGGTGCGACTGTTCGCGTGACTGAAACGACTGTCCTATGACGAGTGCTATTTGCTGACATCATCCTACGGACTTATCTTCTACAGTATGATTCGACACTAACTACACTTAATCGACTTACAGAAATGCTAAGTACCAATTTTATCACAACAATTTTATTAGATTAAATCACTCTGATTCTCTGAAAATCAGAGTTGTTTTTGAAAACCACTCTGATGGTCCTAGGTAAATTTTTGAAAGTATAAGTTTTCTCTGATTTGTCAGAGTTGGCCTATGTACCACCCTGAAGAGTTTTCAATGCGGGGGATGCTCCAATATTTTTCCCTGTACTCTCTGTATTCGGCTTAGTCACCCGACTGCCAGTCACACCCCTCCCATACCCCACGCAACCTGGAGAATTTTGGCTAAGTCCTTTGCAACTGGTCACATCCTGCTTCATACCTCTGTAACCTGGAAAATTTCGGCTTACTCCTCTGTAACCAGTCACAACACACTTATACCCCACACAACCCAGGCGCATTCCTCCTTCCCACACCCAACCCAACCTAGCCCTGCTGTGATCAGTGGTGTTTGACTGGCCCTTGTTAAATTATATATTGAGTTATATAATTGTTAGGCTTGGTAGGTTACCGAACTTTACTGTAGAGGGTACAATCCCCTCCTTGTATGCCTCTCTCTTTCTATTCCAACACTCTTTTCTCTCCTCTCAACATTTCTCCTTCCTAAACCTCACGCCACTCCATGGTTCCTCCTAGCTAAACCTCATGCCTTTCCTAGCTTCCTAGCTAAGCTAGCCTTCTAACAGCCCTTGCCGTCAATCTCGATAGTTTTCACGTGTGTAACTTGGCACGGGGTTGACATGTAAACATCGCAGCTGTCGCAACATAGCGAAAGCGATTGGTACAGCACCAGCCAATCACTGGCGTGTTGTTTCGCTCGCAGGCAGCCAGGATTGGCTGCTATTTTTTTCCCACGCGAAATGCCTTCCAGCGTGAGTTGCAGTGCTGACTGAGGACACGTTTTGTACCTGAGGAGGCTCGAGGGAAGAATTCGGGGCATCAAATATAGGTACGGGCTGTTTAGAATACGTGAATGATTACTAGAAGGAGAAACCTAGAACATATACCTGTTGGGTTGTACTCACTAGAAGCACACACCTAGTCTAGCCTATAACTTCTACATAGAACATATGTATAAGTTGACACGGGCAAGATCCCCTAAGCCAGAACTTTGGGTCATCTGGTCCATCAAACTGATGCCCTGAAGTCCTGCCTAGGGACTTCCCTGAGCACGGAGCGCGCCCTATCGAAGTATTTCGGAGCAGAGCATGCACTGATTTTTTTGGGAGAACCCGACTGAGACATCCCAGTTTCCAGCCAACTGTACTGGGCAGATTTCGGCCAAATCTCTATAAAGTTGCACGTTTCAGCGTTCGTTCTTGGGCACGGAATTGAAGGGGGTGTGTATATGGCACGCACCTATAAAAAAAAGTGGTGCGATTTGGCACTCTTCCGGGATAACGCAGCACGGTGCGAAATAGCCGTAGGGCGTGAATCCTGGGGGTAAGAGTTTTTATTTGAAAAGTGTGAAAATACCCTGACAAATCAGAGTTCGAGCTCCAGGGCACTCTGAAAATCAGAGTTTGGCCAGGAGTCACTCGTGAAAATCAGAGTGGTGAAAAACCAAAGATAAGCCCTGGCTCGTTGTGTCCCATGCCCCAAATTAGCCAGGTGAAATGCCCTGATTGCCCTGATTTTTCCGGGTGTTTTTTGGCTTGGTCTTAAAAATCAGACTCACTAATATTTTTAGGCTGATTCAAAAAGTGTAGCGAATTTTTATCCCTGACGAAAACAGAGTTGCGGAACACGGCACCCTAAGTCTTCAGGATGTCCTGATACCCTGATACCGAAACTCTGAAATTCCGGCTAGGTCCCCCACAAACAGAGACATCCCTCACATCCACCCTGCAAGTCAAAAATTTGGCCAAGTCCCTCGCACCCAGAGACAATCCTCCCACACACCCTGGAACCCTGAAATTTCGTGAAGTCCTTAGAGGCATCCCTCCAACACCCCCCACAACCAATACGAAACGGCGAAGTCCCCACAAGAGACACTCTCCCCATACCCCGCGTAACCCTTTTTCTTTGCTAAGTCCTCGACACAACAACCAGACACATGTCCCACCACACCCAATCATGAGCATGAAAAAATTCCCCGCCCTGTTCCCACCCCTGCAAATTCGATGTCCCTCCCGCACCCAATCAAGTGCTGCTGATCTTCTTTCCGCCCCTGCAAATTCGATTCCCCCATATCCATCCCACTCTCTATCCTCCCCCCCCCCCCCCCCACCCACCTTCCCCAACCCCCGCATGCGCAAATTCGCCTCACGCTTGTTTCACGTTTCACCTGCATTGTAGCACCGCATTATACCGCATTCCACTTCGAACTCAAAACTGAACTTGCTAAGAATGCCAAGAGTTAGACAAGGTGCCAAAAAATCTACACTTTCAGCTACCGTCATCCCCAGTATATAACACCCTATGGTGGATATTATAATTCACTAAAAGAATGAGTGGGTGTTAAAAGTGGCCCGGAAAAATATAGAGCCCATGTGTTATGTAAAATGCAATATGAATTTGAGTGTTTTAAGGCTTACACAGCTACCGGTTCTTGTTCACACGATGTTGGGGATATGAATGCAATTGCATACGTGTCGAATTTGACATCAGCACGACCACGTGTGGCCAATCCTTGGCGGCCGTGCCTGCCAACAGCGGTAAAAATGCAGCCACAGGCTGCCAGCGCAGGGTAAGAATGGTTAGGTGCGGTGGATGCTGCTACACAGCAGACGTGAGGGAATATGCCCTTCCAACTTGGCATATTGAACCTTCTGACCGCACCATCGCATGCCAGCATATGATGGTGTTTCCGGTTCGCCAAAGACCGTGCGCACTCCGGGAAGGGATTCCAATCACGTTTCTTGTTCATCCCTATCTTGCTGCAGCGTTTATTTTCACTTCTGCTTTTGTTCTCGACACAAAACCCTTCATGATGCCCGGGCTCTCTAACAGAGCCTCAGGCACTAGTCCCTCAACTAGCAATCTCCCTTTCGGGTGCTGCCATGGCAGCGCGTACGTTTAGCAGCCTCTCTGTATTGTGCACCCATCGTCCTCCCTCCGGCAACCAGTTCCTACTCCGTCCGTTCCTGTCGATTCCCCCGGCACCACCTGCACCACCTGCTCCTCCCGCTCCACCTGCGCCACTTGCACCTCCTGCACCTCCGGCGCCTCCGGCGCCTCCCGCTCCCTCGTTGCCGATTCCCAGTCATCCGCTTGAATGGGACAATTCATGGCAGGACGATGAGGACGAGCTGTACTGGGAGGAGGCTGCCGACGGAGAGCCTGAGCCTCCGCCAACACTTCCTTGAGTTGCTATTCCGTCTTTCCCTCAGCCTAGGTGTCGTCCCAACATGCCTCGCGTTAGCCGTGATGCCGCACCTCCCTCTCCCAGAAACTGCAGGACGAGGCGCAAAACAGTCTCACGCACGGCGGCAGAGAAGCTATTCTGGTTGGGCAAGCTTGACGATGACCCTAAGCTATCCAACCGCAAGCTTGCAAGGATGGCGGAGGTCCAGCCCTATCAGATTCGCGTGTGGAAGAAAAACAAGGCAAAACTGGCGGTGGCTGCTGGCTGCAGGCGTCGTCTCGTCGGCTCACGGTGCAAGGCCAAGTTCCTCGACATGGAGCGCGAGCTGTACAAGCGCTTCCTCTCCCATCGCGTACATGGCTTGGCGGTCTCCATCATCTGCCTGCAGAAGTGGAGTCGGAAGTACATGAAGAAGCGGCACCCTGGAGTCGACTGGTGAGCATTGTCACGATGGACCTTGCGCTTCCGCACTCGCTGCGGTTTGACGAGGTGTGTGAAGACCGGTTAGTTTCAATTGCTCCGAGTGTTTCCACACCGTCTTTCTTCGCGAATTCGACTTGTACTCTTGCGTGTTATTCCCTGTCTGCATGCTTATTGTGTTTGGTTTTTTTGTGCTTGCATATTGCGAGACAAAAGTGGAGAAGTTTTGGGAGTTTGTGCGTCAGGTGCGGAAACTGAACTGCTACCCCGACGAGTTGATAATCAATGCCGACCAAACACCTCTGTTTCTAGAGATGCTGTAGGAGACAACGCTAGAGGTCCGCGGCTCATGGACGGTGCACGTGTTCAACGCCAGCTACGAGAAAGAACGACTGACCGTCATGCTGGCAGTCACTGCTGCTGGATAGAAGCCGAATCCGTATGTCATATTCAAGCGAAAGATCGTGTCCAATATTCGAGTCCCCCCTGGTGAGTTCAAATCTTGTTGTTTGATTAATTATGTTTATCTTAATCCACGTCCCATGCCCTGTTGTTTTTCTCCTCTTATTGACCCCGCCGGATTTCCTTTGTCTTGGCTTATGTCCAGGCATCATCATCCGTGCGCACCCGAAAGGATTGATGGACGAGGAGCACGTGAAGGACTGGATCACAACAGTGCTCGTCCTGTTCCTTAAGCGATTCCCTGCAAGGCGTGGCGGTCGGGCGAAAGCCCTCGTCGTCCTCGACAGCTACAAAGGGCACCTGATCGAGGGCGTGTCAGCGGCGATGCACCTCTTCAAGCTCTCCAGGGCCGTGATTCCTGGCGGCTGCACGCCGATCGTCCAACCACTCGACGTGGCTATCAACTG